TGTTCCTGATAGGGTGTCCCTACTTCAGGTCCTTGGATGATCATCATGTCAGTCCCTCACACATCTAACCCTCCAGCCACTCATTCCCTGTTGGACCCGGGGAGTGAGCCACTACCGAAAGCAGAGGAAAAGTTGAACTTGGAGGCAAAGAAGTGAATCCAAAAGGTCTATTTTTTGTGGGAGCTGGAATGGTTGGTAGCCACCCAGTAGCCCAGCTGGTGSAGAGAGGAGGAGGGAAGGAGCAGCAGCAGGGTGTTCTGTTGGGGACAGTCCTGCTCCCCCCTGTGGGCCATCGGTGTTGCATGCAGGTCTTCTGTACCCTAATGCAGTGCCCCACCATCTTCCTTAACCCAAACACCTGAGAATTTAGTATTCCACCACCCGATCCTGGGCCTGGCTTGTTTCTCACATTCCTCAGCCAACTACCTGTTAACTGCAGGAGAAGCGCAGCCTGAGATAATGTTGATGGGAGGAACCCAGGAAACCTTTGTGACCAGATCCTGAAACTCTGGGAGACAAGGATGGTTCCYCYTAACCAWAAAATCTGTAAGAAATCAGAACGGGTCATCCTGGGCCAAGGAGACCCACAGTTGCCATGACAGYGGGGCCTTGAAAGTCTGATGTCAGCCTGCTGTCAGTCAAAAGGGAAGAGGTGGGTCTCCGTGGGCTCTCTGGAAACGTCACTGGATCCCCAGTAAAACTGGAGTGCAGGAGAGGCACGTTGTCCCTCTCCTCTCTGAGGACCCACTCTTTCCTTTGAGAGTGTCCCCTTTCGCTTTTCCTATYCCCTCAATCAACTCATTCCTGTTACTCTGAGCGACAGGTCTGACATCTTTCTGACRTGATCACAAGAATCGGGGTTTGAAGGGGGTCTTCCTGCTGCCTYGGTTTCCCAGAAGGCCACAGCTCTGTAACAGGTGGCTGCATCGTATTAATACYTGGGGTTCTGAAGCTAAAAGGGGGACCTCTGCAAGAACAATGAAGTCCCCGAGAGCCCCTAGATCAGCTGGGCTTTGTCCATTTCCTGCTGTTTCAGAACGTCAGCTGCTAACCCTAACCCTAACCACCCTCACCCTCTGCTGGAGCCTCACTCACCTCCCTCACCCTCTGCTGGAGCCTCACTCATCTCCGTCACCCTCTGCCTCCTTCTCTCTCTTCTGCTCACCCTGTCTTTTTCCAGAAAAGTTCCTTTTCTCTCTTTCCTGCTTTGCTTCTGGGTCTTCCTACGCAGCGGCTGCCCTTTGAGGAGCCGCTGCCATGCAATCACGGAGGGATAATTTTTCGAAGCTTCTTAACCAAAGCTTTTAAAATTAGAGTCTAATACTGCACAGATGGTGGTGTTTATTAAACCACGTCAAGTGTGTAATTATCTCCGGAGACCTCAGACGCAGTGGTGCTTTGAGTCTCCAGTAAATCAGGATTAAGCTCTGGGAAAAATCAAATCATGCAAACAAGTGTTTATTAGGTGTCTCGATGTGCCTGGCCTAGGAAATGCCAAGGCACTGGTGGATGGCTGAGTCCCCAGCCCGGCCTGCTCCTGAGGGGGGCTTATGAACTGTTACTCCACTTTATCTTCCTTACTTCTACCTGAACTTTCCTTGTGWTTCCCAGGCTCCATGCTCCTTATCCTTTTAAACCTGCCAGAAYTGTAGGAAAAGAAGACAAAGAGGMCACCTCTGCACTGCGAGTTTAGGTGGAAGTGTCCCCAGTCACAGGGCTTCCTGATCCTCATGGGAGGCTGGACCTAGAGGCTTTCACGGATTGGAGAGGGTGCCTTGTGTCRGTCTAAAGCTCCCCCCTGGTTTCATTCTGACGGGCCAGTGTAAGGATTTGCAATTGTCCTCGGGGTGGAGAGGCCACTTTGGTGGGCAGCGTTTTTTGCCAATGTCTCCAGAATATCCTTTCAGAAATATGATCACCTCATCAGGGAGAGGGCTGGGGAGGGCAAGGAAACGGAGTCATGTGCGGAAGCCAAGAGAGCTGGGTTGGTGAGGGCATAGAATTGTTGTCCGTCCTTCATTCCCCAAACAAAACCAAAATGCAGAAATGAAAAGTTTCAAAAACTTTTGAACTCTGGGTAAAAGAACAATAAACCCATGCCGCTTATATTATTAAACAAGGTGTTTGTATTTTACCTTGTCTATTTCCATCTAATCTTTGGCATTCCTTCAAACAACTGAAAAGTGGTATAACATAAAATACTTTCACAAATAAATGTATGAGTCAAGCTCAAAATTTAAGCAAGAGGAATGTGACAAAATTAGAAAATTAAATGGAATGACTTACAAGTTAAAATTTGGTGTAAGAATTTATCAGTGATTTGTAGGTAATAATAAAAAGCCAACTGGACACAGAATAGTTATGAGACCCTCAAGATACATGTCATGCCAAAGAAAGAAACAGTATATCCCGTGTCCTCTACTCTGTTATCCCAATTACGATAAAGAAAATGCAACTCAGACTAAGTTTCACAAACTGCGCATGGAAAATCCTGATGTGCACAGTCTCGACAGTCTTCCTTACACTTGCTCCTCTCTGAAGGCAGGTTCCTGATAGGCATTTGTGCATGTGAACCTGTTAGAGAATTCGTTCTGAATATGTGTTTACATAACACAAAGGCATTTCATATTCCCAGTCAAAGTTGGGTCAGTTCCCCTCCGGGTGCATCTCAGCTGAGGGACTGGGGTGAGAGCCTTTCCTTTGCTCAGGGGAAACCAAGGCCTGGGAAGGCCCTGGGAAGCCTCTTACCTGAGCGGTTGTTGGGAGACACGCGCACAGGGGAGATGGAGGGTGTGCGGGAGGAGGAGTAGGGCCTTTGCCGATCCCTCTCGATGGTTGAAGATGAGGCTACAAAGTGATATTGTGACCATCCATCCTGCAAAAGACGGAGTGCTCCTATTAAAC